AGGCTTGAATGGAAAAAAAAATAAAAATATCCCATGGAGTTGGGTAAAGGCTGCCAGGCTGCCCCGGGCCCTGTCCTGCAGGCAGGAGCAGCTCCAGCCCCTCTGCAGCCACAGCCAAGACAGAGCTTGCAGGAAAAATCATAAATTAAATGCAAATGTTTATTCCATTGGCACTGTCGGGGTCATGTGCCTTGTGGAGCTGGAGAGTGCAGGAATATTTTCTTGTAGCTGTCGAATAAACTGCTGGAAATTGTCACTGTGTAGGGATCCTGGAGGAGACAGGGGCTGAGACCTGCTTGGGTGATGGATGGATGGATGATGGATGATGGATGGATGGATGGATGGATGGATGATGGATGGATGGATGGATGATGGATGGATGATGGATGGATGGATGGATGGATGGATGATGGATGATGGATGGATGGATGGATGGATGGATGGATGGATGGATGGATGGATGGATGGATGGATGGATGGATGATGGATGGATACACACAGGATTTGGGCCCAAGTTCAGAGGCTGGGCCAAGAGCTTTCTGCACAGGCAATGGTTTTGGGGGCAGGTGTGGGGGTCTGTGTGCAAGTGAGACACTGGAGATTGTGGCCATGTGAGGACCATGGATTTCCCCTCCCTCCTTTGCACACACGCAGAATTAATTCTTCCCATTCCCATCAGACACGGTGAGCTCTGGATGTGCAGGTGAGCTCCAGCACAGCCCCAGCTCTGGTGGGTGTCTGCAGCATGTCCTGCAGGCTGCAGGTCACTGCAGAGATGCTTTAAAAACCCCCACCCCAACCCATCGAGCACAGCCCGCTGCCCCACATGTCCCAGCACGGTGGTTACAACAGGCTTACTCATTGCTCCAGTGAGTAAGACCGAAAGGGGAGCCCCACAGGGGCAGGACCGGGGGCTGATAAGGAGCAGCTCCCTAATCTCCAGCTGCAGCAGCGAAAGGCTGAGGGTGATAACTCCCAGAGCTCTGGGTCCCAGCAGTGCAGGCTGCTGCTGTGGGTTTGAGTGTTTGCAGAGCTCCTCTCCTCGCAGGCTTTGTCTGCAGTGGCCCAGCCCAGCCCAGCACCCCTCAGGGCAGCCAGCAGGAGCTGCTGGTGGTGGCAGCCCCAGGGTCTCAGCCTGGCCCTCTCCTCCTCTGCTCTTCATGCCTCGAGCTCCTGGGGCACAGCCATGGGGAAATGGGGCTACAGGAGGCAGCATCATTCACCTGACCAATCAACCCTGTCTAGGGAGATCCAAAGTAGGGAAGGTCCCAGCTTCATGCTCCATCCTCATGCTCTGGGTGACACCAGGAAGCCAGGAGCACAGCAAAGCTGGCACTCCCCTGATTCGGAGCTGGGCTGGGATTTAGGCTCAGATACCTGGTTTCTGCTGGCTGGGTCAGACCCTGTCCATGCCCATGCCCTGTGGCACACAGCACTGCTGGCTCTGTGTCACCTGCCCCAGCTCCAGGGATCAGCTCCACTGTCCCCTCACTGGCTCCATGTGCCAAATTGCACATGATAAGCTCTGCTCCAAAGCACATTTTTGTCAGAGGCTAGCGAGATAAAGCCTTAAAATAGCTCCCCATGACATCCATCAGGGTCTGTGCCACTGCATTTCCCACACGCTGCCGTCCTCCCTGCCCGGCTTCAGCCGGGACCATCCTGCAGGAAGGCTGAGTTCCTGAAATGCAAAGCAGGACATGCAGAGCTGCTCCTGCCCTGCTGCTCTCCAGGCAGCATGGCACTGAGCACAGCATGGCACTGAGTGTGACATGGCACTGTGGGGCAAGGCTCTGCCTTTTTGGGGTGCCCTGCTGGCACAGGCCCCGCCGCAGGGCCCCCATCCCATCCTTGGCTCGCTGCAGGAGCACCGCGTCCTCCCGGCCTCTCGCAGCCTTTGGCTCTGGCCAAACACCACTTGGCCAAGTCCCCAGCATGGGAACAAAAGCAGAGAGCCCCAGGAGGGGCCAGGGAGCTGGGGGAGGGAGCAGCTCCCTGCACAGCTCCTCTCCAGCGCTGGACATGGAAGAGAAGCATCCTCTTTGTGCCTTCGTCACTCCCGGTGCTGCCCCGTGTCCTTCAGGGGTGCTCTGGTGGCTCTCTCAGCCTCGCTGCCAAGGGGAAGAGTGGGGTGCCAGCGTCTCCTCCTGGAAAGGCCACTTCCAGCTCTTTCCTTGCAGGGTGAACCCGCTTCTTTAACCCCTCAGGTGCCAGCTGGCCAGCACCGTGCCCTGGCCATGCTTCCTGGGCTCTGCTCTGGCAGTGCTGCCAAGCGAGTGGCATTCAAAGCTTTAGCCTTTCTCAGCTTTTAGGCACATGCTCCAGCTCTCCCTCATTTTGTGTTTAGCTTTGAGCAGCCAATATCACGTCATATTTAAAGGCGTAGTTTCAATTCATATCTATCTTGATTTTTTTTTTTTAATGAAAAACAAGATTAAAAATAGTCATCAGAGAAAACAAGCACTGTAATGCCCACACAGATTTTTTAAACACTTTCAAAAATGCCCATGAGAGCAACTGCTTTTAAGTGTTGAAGAATGACTGTGGAGACTTTGCAGTGCAGACATGGCTCTAAGGAAACAAAGCATTTTATACAGAGGGGAAAACATAGCCCAGGTGTTACTGCACCACAAACCACAGCTCCTTCCACTGCACCTGGCTCACACCTGGCTGGGGGCAGGTGGCCCTGCAGAGACATGTTGGGGTTACTGGGAAAGCCATGCCAGCATCTGCTGGCCATGCCAAGGAAAATCATTCCATTTCCTCTGTGCTGTGCCTGGGAGGGGCTCATGAAGGTCCCCAGCTCAGTGTCACCCCCAGTCCCAGCCAGGCACAGCACAGGCTGTTGAGGCACACCAGGAGATCCTGAGCTCACAGGGATGTCACCTGTGCCAGCAGGATCCTGGGGTGCTGAGGAGCCACAGAGCCCACCACAGCTTGAACTCCACTCTGGAGGCTGGATGGGGCTTTTGGGGGGTTGTTTGGGCTTGTTAAGGGTTTTCCCCAACCTCCACGGCCTCGCTGCCCTCCCTCAGAGACACCAGAAAGCCCCAGGGACCCACGTGCTTCGGGGAGCAGCGATGCAGCACAGCTCATAGCCTGATGTGTTTGGGACAGGGCTGGGAGGAAATCCAGCAGGAATCATTGGAAGTGACCCTGTGTGACACGTACTGCAGGGAAAAAGGGAGGTTTCCCCAGCAGAGCCCAAACTGTGCCAGCACCCATGAGGCACAAAGGCTGCCCCCCCCATTCTGACCACAGGGCTGCAGAACCAGTGGGAATCTTCCTGGTGCAGATCAAGAGCTTGTCTGAAGCCCCTTTTAAAAAGCTGCTTCATCCCCAGCTTTAACCAGCCCTCTGCACACCAGAGTGCAGCAAACTCTGGGCCTTCTCAGAGGCACCAGGATGCTGAGGCCAGGGGAGAGCTTAACTCAGGGGAAAACCACTCTGGAAAGTTGCAGCCTATCTGGAAAAAGGGTTTTACCACAGCTGCTGTGGGCAGAGTACAGGCAGCAGCACTGCCTGACACAGCACATGGCACAGCTTTGGCTCTCCCCATGGAAATGGGAGCATGGCATCACTGCCCACGTGGGAAAGGCCCAGCTCTGTCCCCTTGGTGCCCCACATACTGACAGGATTTTCTTGGCAGCACCAAATGCACATCTGCTCATGCAAAGCTGCGGGTGGGTGCCGGGGAGCTGCAGCCGCCGCCGGCGCAGGAAGGTCGCAGCCATGCACGGGTGCCTCCCTGCATGGGCCAGCCTCCCAGCTCCAACTTTGGGCCTGAAAGGGCTTCCTGCATCCAAAACAGCCAGCCTTGCTCCTCTCCTTGCCCAGAGAGCCCAGGCTGAGCCGCAGCCCTCAACACGCAGGCAGCAAAAAGCTCCTGTGTGTCACCCCCCAGCCCTGCAGCTCTGCTGTCCCTGGCAGGCTCCGAGAGATAAGGCTGGAGGGTGATCACTTCGTGCTGTCATCAAGACAACACAAAGCCTCGATGCTTCCAATACCCATTTTTTCCCTTAATTGTTCTATTTCCACGCGCCTGTGCGCACTGCTTGCCAGAAAAGCCAAGTGCTGATCATTGTCAGATGGTTCACACAGAGGTTTCTGCTTTGTTTTGTTTTTTCAAGGATCCAAGATGATAGGGGGATGGAGAGAACTTTGGTCCTCTGCTTAAAATAATTCGAGCTTTTCACTGTCTACGCCAGGCTCAAGCAGAATTTGCATAACAAATGAGCTTCTCCCCACACTTCAACCCCGGGTTACCCCTGCAGCTCCTGCATGAGGTGGCTCCATCATCTCCATCATCTCCATCATCTCCATCTCCCATCTCAGCCCTGAATCTGGGGAGGGTTGTACATTTTTGGCACTTTTGTCAATCAAGACTCTAAACAGCCTCTGGAACATTTCACCAGTAAAAACATTTGCTTGGTGACCAGCTAATAATTCCAGGCGTCTTTTATCTTGCTGTAAAAATGCCACAAAGCAGCTGGTTAGTGGAGGTTTCTCTCCAAGCTAAAACCTGTTGACAGCAGGACCAAACACTGACTTTCCTGCAATCAGCAGAAATGGCCTCTCTGTGCTGGGTGTTCTCCAGGCAGTGATGGACAAGCACAAAGCACAGCTCTGAGAGCCTGTTTGGGTGCAGAAAAACCGAGCCCTGAAAGTTTCACAGAATTTTTGTTTCACCCCTGAGACAGATTAACACTTGCTAGTTCAGATGGATAAATTATGCTGTTGCTATTTAAACCAATTTCCCCGCAGAATGTTCCAGAGAACACCTGCTGCAGTGGCTGAGGTCACGATTTCCAGCCCAGCAAGAAGATAAAACTGCTGCCAGGGTCCACGGCCAGACCTGCTTTGTGCAGAACCACATCACCTCAGCCTCCCTGCCAAGAAACTGGGTGAATTTTCCAGTTCCCATTCTCCTTCTGGGAGGCAGAAAGTGGGGGAGGAAAGCTTACATACCTTCATGGAGATCTGAGAGGCATCAGAAAGGGTTTTCGTGAGAAACTGGATGGAAGCAAATGCTATCAGAGTCCAAATGCCCCATTAATTATACCAGAATATCATTCTGGGGAAAAGGGAAGTCCCAGCAGTCCTGCAACAGCCTTCTTAGACAATGATTAAAAAAATGTTGCACTTACTGATTTTGAAATGAGTTTTTGTAAGGGTTAGATTTTTCTTGCATGACAACACATTGTGGGTACATAATTAAAAAATGAATCCATGACCAGTCAGAAACAATCATTCCTCCCTTTTTAATTTAGAGTAAACTCTGAAATCTGCCTCTTTTTTTTTTTTTTTTTTTTTTTTACATAACTGTAATTATACAGCAAACCTCCAGAAGCCTTTGCAACATAAACATCCACAGGTCCTTTCTGGGCATCCCCCTGCTATCAGTGAGTCACTGCAGCCCCCACAGCTCCAGGTGGAGGGCACACATCCCTCCTCCAGCCTGTTTCCCAGCATGGGAAATGCTGCTCACAGCTCCTGGAAACCAGGCAGCAAATGCTTAATATAAGTTTTGAGATTCAGCCGACCCGGGCTGTGTCTTTCCACAGCAAACTCAGAGCATCACAAAGTGATTCTCCTGAGTCATTTTTCTGGCCTGTGTGGGTTTGGGCCTTGCTTGGGTGGTCTCTATCAGGCTAGAGCCACGTGTAGCCCTCCCCCTGTGTGCTGCAGCACTGTTGATCCCCCCAGAGGGAGCAGAGCTCAGGGCAGGCATCTCCAGCAAGCCATGGTGGCTTGGCTGTGCTGCCCTCAGCCCTGAGAGCAGGTTTCAGTCGTGGCTTTCCTGGCACAGGCATGTCCCCGAGCTCCCCTGGCTCTCCTGCTGTCTGATTGCTGTTTGGGATGCTGCTCTGAGATGCTGCTCCCTCCACATGCATCACTTGACCACAAAACCATCCTCCTTTACTTGCAAACCCCCCAGTCTCAGCAGCTCCACCAGGCAGGAGACACCAACACACTCCTGGCAGCCCTGAGCAGGGCAGGACAGGTTCCCTGGGCTCACCATGGCTCACAGTCCGACCTGCTGGGCTGCTCTGGGTTTTGTTGGGCTCCACCAAAGCCTGAGACACCATATGGCTCCCGGGGATGCTCCTCTGCAGGGTTTGGTTTGCAGCACGGGAGTGATGCCTGGCAGAGGCAGCAGAGCAGCTCCCCCCACCCTGTTCCAGAGTGGCCTGGGGTGACAAATGGCTCTGATGGCACAGGGTGTCCCCAGCCCACACCAGTGCCCAAAGCATGGAAAATACATTCCTGGTCCTGGCTGTGCTGTCCCAGGGGCTGCTGTGTCCCAGTGGAATGGGAAGGGAAGCTCTGCCTGGGATTTTGGAGAGCCTTGTTGTGGTCTGGAGGGACAGGTGGGGTGGCAGGGGGAGCCAGGATGCTTCTCTTGGTGCCTGCTAAGAAGAGATCAGCCTGGAGCTGCCTGAGCTGCTGCACAGGCCCCAGAGATGGAGAGGCCAGGAGAAGTTTGCCCTCAGGCTAAACAAGCCTCCAGCTTCCTTCTCTCGCCCCCATCCCTCCCTGCCTCCCTTCTCCCACGTGTTTTGTGAAGCTCATCCCCAAGAACTGCTCTCATCCAGGCGTAGGCACCACCAGACCTCTCATCTTGGGGCACCACCTTGGAACTGTGCACTGAGAACTGGGGAAACCGAGGCACATACAACCACCAGGAAACTGCTGCAGGCTGTTCTCATGTGGTTTGGGAGAGACAGAACGGACTGCTGTGCTCTGGACCTTTGGTTTGACCTTCCCCCAGCAGCTCCTTGTCCTCCTCACTGTCCCCTCCCCGAGCTGGTGCCAGCAGGTGACAAATCCTGCAGCTCCAGTTCGTGCTCCCCACAGGTACCAGTAGCTGCTTCAACGGTCACTGGCTAAAAGAGAACAAAAACACCAACAAAACACCAACAAATAGCTAGTTGACTCTGTTCCCAGGCAAATAAAAAAGAATGGGTTTGGATCGTCACTGCTGTCCCTTTGTTTACCGAATGCAGTAACAAAACAGCCAGGAAAGAAAAAAAAATATTCCCTGATAGCGAGAATTGATTGTGGGTGAAGCAGGCTGGGACATGCCCCAGGGAAGGAGGGCCAGGCTCTGTGTGGATCTGCTGGGGATGGGAAATAAACGTGCTCAGAAGCACTTAAAGAAACCTGAAAGGGCCAGCCCTGATTGCAGCAGTTAGAAGTGATATATTCTTGGCATGGAAACAAAAAGCAAATTCATAGCAGGTTTGGAGCTGATCTTACTGGCTTACATGGGATTTTATACTTAGGTAATTCTATTGTTGGCTGGAGCTACCTTATTTATGCCTGAATAAGGTCCTGATCCTGCTAACATTTACTGATGTACTTTAGTTTTACCTTTGCCCCAAGACATCCTGCTGATTTCCCTGCAGTGAGGGTAGTGCCTGTCTGCAGAGCTGGGCCTTTGCAAGAGGAAAATCTGTGTTGTAGCCCTGAAACAGAGAGGAGATTTTGCAGCGAGTCATTAACTCCCCCAGGCTGTGGCTGTCCCCAGTGGGACACTGCCAGCCCCAGGCAGGACACCCCAGGCTGTGGCTGTCCCCAGTGAGACCCTGCCAGCCCCAGGCAGGACACCCCAGGCTGTGGCTGTCCCCAGTGGGACACTGCCAGCCCCAGGCAGGACACCCCAGGCTGCCAGCACAGCCCCACAAAATTCGGGGAGCAGTGGGGGAACAGCCTCAGCACAGAGGGTGCTGCATGGAGCTCTGAGTCTCTGCAAGGCAAACCACCAGCTGAACACCGAGTTTACCCTCATGCCACCCCTGTCCCCAGGGCAGACCCTCCAAGCAGGCTGCTAAACCCAGCAGGAGCCATTCGGACTGGTTGTGTCCATCCAAGAAAATGGCATTTGTTGTCAAAAACACTGTTAGGTAAAAAAGGTAGATTCATCCATCAAGCACTGTCCTGTGACAGTGAAACCACCTGTGTTTGCTCCAAAGGGAGCAGGAGAATAAAAACCTGTCTGAGGTGGGAGGAGGATGCCCAGGAGGAGAAGCTGTGAGCTCACCCACAGCAGCCCCAGCCTGAGACCTCAGCGAGATGTCCCCGCGGCTCACGCGTCCCTCCCATGCTGCTAAAATCAGAGAAATGGAATCAAAAGGGGTTGTGAGGCCCGGAGCAGCTGCTTTCCTCCCTGCTGCTGCCAAGCCTCCCCGAGAGCACGGGGAGAATTAATTTGCTTTACAATGGGCTGCCGGGTGTCTGCGCACCACCTGCAGCCAGCCCTGAGGGTGCTGGGGAGCCTGGGGGTCCCCCGGAGTGAACCCCTCCTGTACAAACCCTGCTCGGTCCTGGGGACCCCTGGTGAGCTCCCAGTGCCGCTCCCCAGCCCCGCAGAGCTCAGGTGCTGCCCTACACCTCGTGGCTGTGGGGCCTCCATCCCAAAAACACACCTGGCAAAGGCCACCAGCAGCAGTGGCAGGGCTGGGAGCGTGTCCAGGTCTTCATCCCACAGCCCCCGGTGGTGCTGTGCACCCAGGGGTGATGGGGTTGGTGTCCACCCAGCTCTGGGATGCTGCCGTGACCACGCCGAGGTCCTGCGCCGTGTCTGGTGAGGCTGCAGGGCTGGAGACAGCACCCAAAGGCACCTCCGGAGCAGCTCCTCTGAAATGGGCTTTGTTTATGCTGTGGCAGCCTGGAGAAATGAATATTGCCTGCCCAGAAAGATTTAAATATACATAAAATTAGAAGGAGGAAGTGTTAGCTAAAATTTCATACTTCTGGAAGGCAGACGGTTCGTTAGCAGTACTTTAATGAGGCTCTAACCTCACTGTAATGCTTTTATTAATGCTCGTTGCTTACTGAGTGCCAACTGCTTGGCTCCTCTCCGACAGCCCGGCTGGCCCACAAAGAGAGGGGCTGAGGGGTCCTTTGATGCAAAACGCGAGCACATTTCCCCCACAGCCAGGACAAGCGACAGTTGGTGAGATGAGACAGCCCCAAACTCAGCAGATGGTGCCCAGAGCAGGCGAGGCAGCGAGAGCAGGGTGGGCAGGAGGGGACACAGGAGGGGACAAGGGAAGGGAGAAGATGAGGTGCCAGTTATGCCAGTGCTCGTTCCTGCTGGCTGCAGCCAGGTCAGCGTGAGCGTCAGGACACGAGCAGGACATCAAGGATGGGTGTGCTGGAGATTTGGTGACAGGGGCAGACAGGGGGAGGTGCAGGATCCAGGAGCTCAGCACTCAGCCTGCTCTCCCTGCTCTTCTGCTGCAGATGTCCCGTGTGCTTTGAGCCCAAGGCTGCATCCAGATCTCACCTGCTTTGCTCAGATGTGAGTCCTTAATCCAACAAACTTCCAAACAGCCAAGGCACCCAAAAGCCCCACTGTGGCTGTGAACCTGTGCCTTTGAGGTGCTCCCAGCCCTGCTGTGGAGCTGATCCAGCTGAAGCAGAACCAGGAGAGGATGGAGTCCCTCCTCCAGCCCCTCTGCCCTGCCCTTGTCCATGCTGCTGGCTGCAGAGAGGAGGAAGGGACACCAGCTGCTCGTGGGGTGATGCCCAGGGGTGAGCACACCTTCGGACGTGGCTGTGCAAGGCCAGAAGGACAAGGATCACCCCAACAGCTGCTGGGACACTCCACCAGCCCTCCTGGGAGCCGAGGTGAGCATATGCCGTATGCTTCTCCTCCTGTTGCTGGAAACACTCTGAATAGAGGGATTAACAACCACCCCTGGCAGCCTTAGAGCAGCGAGCCAAGGCTCCGGCTGGTATTCCAGCACAGCAGAGAGCAGGGGGGCTGCTGCAGGAGTGGGAGCAGCTCCTGGGAGCCTCTCCCTGGCTCTGCCTGCAGGGCCAGCCCTGCCAGGAGGGTGCCAAGTGGGATGCCACGCTGCCCCTGGGGCTGCAGCACACCGCCAAGGGCAGCAGAGCTGGGTCTGCTGTCCCACCATTGTCTGGTGGCTCCAGAGGCAACCAGAGAGCCCTGGCAAAGGGAAGCCCAGCATAGTGTCACAATCAGCTGAAACAGGCTGTCATGTCATTTCAGTCGCCAAAAAAGAGGGAAGAAGATTATTCAGAGAAAGGAGGAGGAAGCCAGCACAGAGGAGGCTGCCAGGGCACAGAGCGAGGGGTGAAAGAGGGTGGAGGCAGGAATGACCAGGGAGAAAAGCTCCTGTCCTCAGTGCATTCTGCCCAAACCACCAAGCTACACAGTCTCTGAACTAGAAAATTCACAATGGATTTTTTTTCTCCATGTAAAACTGACAGATTCAAAGCCAAACATGGAAATATCTCAGGGTGCTGATGTGCATTTTTCCTGTTACAGTTGCTCTGAAATCTGGTCTGCTTCTTGTGAAGGAAAAAAAAAAAAAAAACAGAGAGAAAAAAAAAAGAAACAGGATATTTTCAAGTAAAATTAGTTATCTGCAGTTGTTTTTTTTTGAAGTGACTGCTATAGGTAATTGGGAAATTGGTAAAATAAAAATGTTTACCCAAGTATTTTTTTGCCAAAATGGGGTGTGGTTGTTTGTTTTTGAAAATATGACTCTCTAAATTTATCAGAATTCAGAATGAAGCAGAATCTAGAAATGAAAACAAAACACAAAAAAATAAAATAGGGCAAAATGGAATGGCAAATGCTGTGAAATGTTCATCTGGAATTTACAGCAGAGTCTAAAGCCCTCTCTCACCAGACAGTAAATTCTTGTTCCTAGAACAATAAAATAGTCCCATAATAAATCTTTTTAGTTTCTACTGGCCCCATCCAAAGCTTCCCTGCACTGACAGTGAGACCTTGCAGGTCTCCAGGGGCTTGGGCATCACTTTGCACATGACAGCAGCTGTGCCAGCCTGAAACACAAAGTTCTGAATCCCACAGCTCCTGTGGCAGAACATGCTAAACTTGGTATTTAAAATGGATTTTATCCAAAGCATAAAGCAGAAGAGTTTTGTCCCGGTGCAAAATGGGAAAACAAGGTAAAAAAATGAGCACATCTGTAAACAAGATGCACATTGGCAGCCCTCATCACCCTGGCAGGGGTAATTGCCCTCGAGTTTAATCAAGGTAGAAGGAGGGGATTTGGGAGCACCACATCCATGGCACACTTCCCTGCTTTGTCACATCACACTGAACACTCGATAAAAGATCCCTTTGAAGAGGAGCCAAGCCCATCCTCACTTGAGTGCGGTGATGCTGCGCTGGGTTTGCTGAGCTGGGGCTTCTACTTGGGCAAAGAATTTGTAAGAGGCATTAAAAAAAGAGTAGGAGTGAGCAGACAGTGTTGCAGCTCAAATAAAGCAAATTAATTATTGGGGTTTGCCTCTATTTTTTTGCTGGCACTGGGACAAACAGACTCCTGTATTAGTAAAATGTATCCCTCTCTATAGATTTGGGTATGTGCCAATGCAGATTCAAAAATCACTTCCCATCTCCCCAAAATCATGAGATGGGTAAGAAAATAAATAGAATTAAAAACCTAATAGTAACAAAGGGTTTTCTTTTGTGTCTGTTTCTGAGCTGTTGCCCTGCCAAGGTAGTTTCAATAGAATCTTGGTTAAAGGAATATTAAGGAAGGGAAGGTGAGACTTTCCCATCATTACACCAGAAGAGTTTAGTTTCCCAGGAGAGCAAATCTGTAATGCGATGAGATCACTTCCAGCTGACAAATCTGAAGTTTGTTTTTAGAAGGCTAAAAAAACTACAAAAAAATAACTTAAAGGAAAAAAAAAAAACAAAAAAAAACCACCCAAAGGCAGATCACTTGGGCATTGGGTATTTGGACCCAGCCAGAGCGGATAACGTGCCATCCTCCTGCTTCCCAGTGAGGGCAAAATTTCCTGGTTTTCTTAGGGAATTCCCTGGTTTCCTTTGGGAATTCAGCTTGGGCAGAGGTGTGAGTGGTGGTGGATCTGCAGTCTCTGCCAGACAGCAATTTCCCAGTGCCATTTGTGTGTGGTGTGACCCCAGCCCGGAGCAGGAGGGGCTGGGGGCACTTCACTCCAGGGCTTTGCTCCTGGCAGGCATGGAGGAGCTGCTGCCCATCCTGGGCACCCACTCACCAGGGGCTGATGGAGACATCCTCCCCCTCCTGCCCGTGCCAGAGCCCCACCCAGAGCACAAACAGCCTCTGCCACCATCCCTGCCCCCTTCCAGCCCGTGCCCAGCTCCTCCAGGTGTTGTTTGCTCTCCCAGCACAGCTCTTGTTCAGAGAGAGCACCACAAAGGCTCGGGGTCCTTGCTATTGATTCCCAGCCCCAGCCTGGCTTTGTTGAGGTGACCAAGTGAGTGGCAGGTGGTTGGTTCTTCTGCTTATTTCCTGCTGGATGGGGACACCAAATATTTGCTTTCTGAAATATTTTGCAGCAGCTCCACTACAATTAACAGCATCAGCTGAAATGCTCAAAAAGGGGTGGGGGAGTGTTCCTGTGCCTTTGCTAAGATGACACAGAAACTCCTGGCCTTTGTTGCTTTGCCATGAAGTGCATCTCACAGACAGCACATGTGATGGATTAACCTTTGGCTTCACGGG